TGACAGCATAAAGTATAAATAGTGATGTAGCAGGATATACTTCGAAGCACTTTGTTGGTCTGGTGCAGCGTACTTGTGCTGCACCTATAAAATCGGCCCTCACGAAGCCACAGCAGCAACAGCTGCCACGGCGACTGATGCGGTCAGGTTGCTCTGTGAGGGCTGTGGAACTCTTGCGTTTACTGACCCCTGGCGATGCTGCAGGGAGGGGGAGCTCTGGCGCCGCAGACCCTTCAGGTCTCCTTGGATGCTTGCAGCCTTGGGCAACAACAGCTACTGGAAAGGCAACCTCAGCGGCATCAACAGAAGCAGCAACTGCATCAGAAGTACACGTCGCAAGAAATACACATAACATCTGGGAAACAAGACGGTCTCGAGGAACCTAATGCTCTCCACAGCACCAACTGCGCCAGCATCCCAGTCAGAAGTACCAGCGGCAGCAACAGAAACAACAACCATAGCAACCGGTGGCGTGCTGCTGAGGGTTGCCAAGCTTGCGCAGATGGACAAACAGGTGCGTTATCTTCTGATGAGTTTGGAGAACAACACGGGAAACAGCAGCAGAAAGAACCCGAGCACTCTCCGAAACAACAGCAACAGTTGCATCACACGCAGCAGCAAACGGCGGTAGTGCAGCAGCAGGAAGCATTTACTGCCTTCGTGCCGTGGCCGGGACGTGCTGAGTACTACAAGGGAGCAAAGCCAGTGGCGTCATTTGGAGAAGCAATCCGTGCCACCACCGCAGCGCAATCTCCTTGTGCCCTGAGGCGCGAGCTACAGCTGCTGCAGCACGGCCTAGCTGCAGCAGCTGCAACCAGCGGCAGTAGCAACAGGAACGGCACCAGGAACGAGTCTTCTGTGGGTCGGGCTGTGCGTCGCCAGGCCTCGAAGTTGAAGCGGCTGACAGCAAATTTGTTGTCTCTCTCTATTTCTTCAACAGGATCAACCATGGCTGGGAGCCCTCCAGCAGCAGGCGCCTCTTCTAGGGGCCGTGGACCGTCTGTAGACAGCCGAATTCTGGTGGGCGAGGACGCGCTGATGTCGGACTTGCCATTGGAGGTTGACGAAGGGCACAGGGCGCTGCAGCCGTTTCTATCTTGGTGAGAGCAACACGCCGCCTTTAGTCCCAGTCGCCTGGCGCATGCACATGCATGGACTACAGAGCTCTCTTGTGTCCTTATGTTCTAGTACTGCGAAGGCCTGCACAGGCCACAGCTGACTAGGGACAACTGCTAGGTGTTTTGCAGAATGCCATGCGCTGCGTGACACCTTCTGTTGGAGAGGCTTCGAGATATGGCTTGAGACTGTGCGTGCTCTGGGGTGCCGGCGCAGGGGCCTTGAGTGGTCAGGCAGGCATCGCAGCTTAGAGGCAGGCATCCTAACTCTCGTTAACCATTCTTCTCCTTTGAAGTCGGTATTGCCTCTAAATACAGAGAGCACTGAATTTGACGCTCTTGTGGGCTTGTCAGCTAAAGCCGCACCAGCTGACACAACGGCTGCTGTGGCGGGAGGTGGTGGCGCTGGGCCGTGTCCATACATATTTGCCTTCGAAGATATCGTTGAGCGATTTGCGAAGGTGATCCCCAGGTAAGTGACCGCCATTGGCTACAGCGAATCTAGCGTTTTCTTTTGTCCACAGAAAGTGAGCATGCAGAGCCACGTCGCGTGCATGTGCTGGTCTCGTTGCCTCTGCTGCGGCACGTGTTTTCCGCGGCTGGGACTGGCATGTATCCCTGCTGCTGTTGCTGCTGCTGCTGCTGCTGCTGCTGTAGTCCATCCAGCCTCGATGCTGCAAAAGCAAAGGATGACCCACCAGGTATTGACAGCAGAACAAGCCCCGAAGAGACCGCTGGATATGGTCCTGAAGCGGCAGGTCGTGGAGCTTCTCGCAGTTGTGCGGCAGCTGCTGCAGATGATGACGCAGACGCAGAGGGAGATCTTGGAGATGTTTCGGCGACGGCAGAGTCACGTGGTAACGCTTCAACGTTAGGCATATCTGGACAGGGAGGAGCTGCGGCTCCAGCAGATACTGCCGCTTGTGCTTCGTCAGACGCGTACGATGAATGCGATGACATCTGTCTTGCCCGTGGCAAATTCTCAACCGGAGCCGGCGAACTAGAGGCAGTACAGGAAACGGCACCAGCCGAAGCTACATCAGTTGCGGAAACAGAAACAGAAGCGGCTGCGGGGGTAGAAGTGGCAGATGTAGCATCAGCGGAAAATGTGAGGGACTTGACAACAGATGATGCAGCCTCACGCAATCCACGTGCAGGAAAGCGTGTCAGTGCTGCAGGGGAAGCCGATTTAGCACTAGTCGGAGCGGCAGTGGATGCAGCAGCAGAAGTATTAGAAGAAGTGCACGTGCCATGGGGCATTGCAGGAGAGGTGACAAGGAAAGCCGCAGGCGATGCAGCAGCGAAAGCAGGGGCAGCTGTGGAAATGGCAACATGTGACGCACGCTTTACGGTAGGAGAAGCATCAGCAGCAAGGGGATCTCGAGGACGAGAGACTGAGCCGATTCCTGCTGCTGAGGCTTCGTCAGCAGACGATAGGTGTGAAGGAACGCTAGAGCAAGCAGCAGAAGGAGCAGAAGAAGACACGCGAGAAGCAGAAGCAGTGGCAGCCCCAGCTTCGGGAGGGCCACCAGAAAAAGAAGTAAGGGTTGGGTCTCTAGAGGAGTGTCTGCGTACCGTTGGGGTGGATGACAAGGCGGCAGCCCCCAAAAAAGCGCAGCTTGGTGTCTTTGGAGCAAAAGCAGCAGCAGCCGCAACAGGAGAAGCCGTATGCAGCCCGTTGGAGGAGCTGGAATCCGACGAACTTCACAGCGAACAACCGACGCTAAGCTCGTGCGCATAGGAGCTACAGGTGCTGGTAGTTTTGGTGCTACTGGCGCGGGTGCTCTGCGTGTTACTGAAGCTCCTGTCGTTGCGTCTCCGCAGGTAGCTTACATTCTCACTACTCCGCAGCCGTTTCATTTGCTGCTGCTGGCCTGCTTTGCTGTTGCTGCAGGCGACAGCTGACAATGCGTGGTAGGGAAGAAGATCCTGAGGCTTTGGAGGCACGACAACTGAGAATGGGACTCTCTGACTTCCCGGAGTGGCTGATGCAAGTTGACGCTGACGCAGATGAGCAGAGGCCCAACCCTTACAAGGCTGTCCGCCTCAGGAAGTAGGCTCATACTTCTGCTGCAGCTGCTTATGTTACTGTTGGTGATACCGTTGCTGCTTGCAGTTCGTTTGTCTGCATCTGCGTCGGCAAGCAACCTTTCTGATTTTGCTGCAGAAGCAGCAGCGACGGCATAGCACTTTGCTGCTGGTATTGCAGTTCATCTGTGAGGCGTTGCCTCTTCGCCTGCTCTCGCCTGTAGCGGAGTGCGCAGTCGGATTTTGTTCAGTCGTATGCACCTTCGGTATCCCCTGCGCACGCTTGTTTTTCTCGTGTCCTGATGCTGGCATTGTTGTTGTAGGACGGGCTTATTGCCTGCGGGAGAAGACGGAAACAGGGACGAGGCAACAGCACGACGGATTCGAGCTCGGCTTGACTGGATGAAGAGTTGTGCGGCCAAGGGCAAGCAGCAGGGGCGACTGTCAAGTGCTGCGGACAGGACGGCAACAACCCCAGAGACCATCAGCCAGTGTAGCAGCCGGAGCGCTTCAAAAGCACCAGAAGATGCCTGGAGGCACAGGCAGTTACAGCGGCAAGGGAAGCCAACACGAGGCCAGCGAGGGGACTGCCAGAATCATCAAGTGCACACCGCCAGCGACTCTTTTGGTCCCGTGGGGACGGATTACATGGGTCAGGCCTCTTCATCGCAGCTGAAGCAGCTGCATGCTTGCAAGCAAGTGAAGAGAAACGGCGGCTATCTGGAGCTGCCTGTTCCACTGTAATGCCTCGCTCGGTGTTGCGTGAGTCTGCGATGTTTTGTTTAGGGAAGGAACAGCGAGGTCCGGAAAGAGAGATCACCTCCGTGGCAGCACTGAGGGCTCGGTTTGAGCGGAGCCGAGCGGATTGGTTCAAGGGAGAGGTAAGCACGACGGAAGCGGTAAGCATGACGGAAGTGTGGTTGAGAGCTCATATATATGTGGCAGTGAGGAACTTGCTGCTCCTTGTAGGACCGTTAATGCCAGTAAAGGGCGGTTGCCACTGTTACTTTCCAGCAGCAGAGCGTTGGCTAGCACCGGAAAATACGCGTCATGTGACGAAAGACGTTCATGACATACGGGGTCAACTTGGCCGTTGGTTGGTTTTGTGTAGATGCCACCACTGCCCCTTTTATATGCGTTCAGCTTCATCGCTTTTCTCGGCTAAATGATCCCCCCGAAACCACGGACGCAACCCAGTAGTCACTGAACCCGTCCCCCCGTTCCAGCGCATAAGCCTCAGCTAGCCTCGTGATTATACCGCTAACCCCTTCGACGTTTGGCTAGCAAGTTACCCTGCCATGTCGCTGGTCGCTGTGTTGCCTGGTTTGCGACATAAGAACGGAGTTGCCTTGGTGCTGCTGAGCGGGAGTTGTTTTTGCAAAGGAGGGGCTTCTGAGCTCGTGGAGCGACCCCTTCCAGCGAGAAGGGCCATTTTGAGGCCTGAGATACCGGGTCTCCCTACTTTTGAGCAAGTGGTTTGCCCTCTAGCCATTACTGAGTGCAAGGGTAGCGTGCGCAACTAGCGCAAACGCAAACCTCGCTAGACGCAGCGACGACTAGCTTCCTTTCAACAGGAGCTGCCGATCTTGCAGTCGTACACTCAATCTGCTGATACGCATGCCAACTAAAATTGGGGCATGGGACTACTTAGTAATTGAAGCTAACTTGACTGTTAGCTTGCTAGCCAGTTGATCTCTACGAAGTTGACATATTCACTGCATGGGTAGTACCTGCGCTATCTGCTGCGACAGCACGTGTGGATGAGAGGCCGCGGCAGAGGTTGGCCCCAGAGAGTCCTCAGTTGAATGCCGGGAACCCATTGTCTTGAGCGGCGACAATTTGGGTTAGATTACCCGGTTAGAAAGGCCCCCCCAACAGGGCCATAAGAGAAGTGTCCAGAGCATCGGAAGTATCCCTTACTGTCCCTCCTGCAAGCCCTTCAGTCAAGTCTGCGGGCTCCCCTGAGTTCCCTGGAGCCATGATGGCATCCATGGCTGAGTCGTCTCCGAAAAGCGTCAGCAAACCACTGCTGCCGTTCGATGCCGGGGCAGTTACTGCAGCTGTCACAGCACACCAGATTGAGTGAGGATGTAGGAGCAGTCTGCGAAGGCTTACACTACTACGCCATCGTGCTGCAGTAGTACAAGCAGGGACAACGCAAGTCCTCCGTCGGTCACGAGGCAGGAGGGGGTGTGCGCAACTGAACTCGCCACAAGTAAGCTGCTGTGGTGAAGTTTACCCCGGGCCGGAAGGGCCAGTGCGCTCAAAGCCCTTGGTGGGGGCTCCTCATCAGAGTCGTTCAATGGCTGACAGTGCAGCTCCCGGCGTATAGTCCCATGGAGCTGCAGTGACGTCGCACACCGAAAGAGCATACCAGTCCGCAAGAAACGATTCTGAAGCGTGACAGTATACCTGCGTACTGCTGCAGCTTTGTTGGCGCTCCTGCTGTAGCCGTAACCTGAGTATGGATACATTGAGTATGGATCCGCTGAGCTTAGGGAAGAAGAAACACCTGTTCGTAAGCCTGGAGTGAAAGTGAACGCTTTCTCGACAGTGCGGCCTCCACAAGCGCTGCATTCTTCTTTTCTTCCCTTTTGAGCTTGCGCTTTAGTTGGCCATCTGTCACGCCTGGCATCATCGTTCTTATCAGGAGCAAGTCCGTCCCGCATGAGGACAGACACTCATAGAACCTGCAAACGCAGTACGGCCAAACATGGCAATCACTGACAATCACGAGAGGCCACTGCTGTTACTGTCCACTCCCTGCTGCAGCAGACCATAGGGCTCCCGCTCACTTGCGGGTTTCCTCCTCGGTCCAGCGCTTTCCCTTTGTTTTCTTGTATGCTCCTTCGTATGGCTGCAGTAGCAAATGCACATGGATTAGAATAATACAAGCACAATCACTACACCACAACAGCAGATCGCAGCTCCGCCTCGCGGCAGAAGCAAGACTTCCACAGCGACGAAGACCAACCTGTAGCACAAACGCTCCTCTAGAAGTCAAGTCTTCTTCAAGAACACGTCTCTGCTGCCCGCTCGTGCACATGCAGCCTCCTCCCAGCAGACCCGACATGCCCAGACATCTGTACAGCCCCGCAGAACAGCTTTTACGCATATCAACGCTGCTGCTGTTGCTGCTGCTGCTGTATCGGCTGTGGCCCTCGCAATGTGACTTACCTGCAGCAGAATACCTCTTTGGGCCCATCTGCAACCACCAAGTTACCGTCGGAGTCCAGGCGCAATGAATCTACACCTGCAAATCACGTGCAGCAGCAGCAGGTTGTAGGTATCTTTAGAGCCGAAAGCGAGACCGAGCAGGCAGTTGATGATGACAGAGCATGCCACAAAAGGAGCAAGGATCAGGGGCCTAAAACACCGCACCGCTGTCGCCAGCAGGAGCCTCGAAGAGACCCTGAAGATCCGACCCATCTCCATTTGTAGTCGACACCAAACCCGCGACTTGTTTCTGCTGTTTCAGCTGGTGCTGCTGCGGGCTAGGGGTTAAAAGCAACGCGAACGGATCCTCCGTATGATCAACCGGGGATTCCACTGTCTGCATCGTAGGAAGTTACAGAGCGACTGACACAAAACAGCAATAAGACCCGACATGCATGTTTGAGAGGTGTCCTCCAGGAGCGATGAAAAGGATAGTCTGCACATGAAGGGTTGCAGCTCACGCCTGTTGCTATCCCAGTGCCTGCGCTCCGTCTAGCCGCTGCACCTGCTGCAGTCTTCCTGCGAAGATTCCGCTTCACAAGGTCCCAAAGCGTGACTGGCTCTGTAGAGGCACCAGCGCCACAGACCATACATAAATTCAGTAGCGGAACCAAGGCAACAAGAGCTGCGGCAGCAGCAAGAGCAGCAGAAGCAGCAACAGCGTACTCTTCCCAGCGCCTGCCTCCTGAACTGCGGAGTCTGCCTCTGAAACATTCGTCGCAACAGTAGACGGGGTTGAGCTCCGGTGGTCGCGGTTACGTCTAACTGTGCGAGGTTTCCGCTGCGTCGCTGTATTGTTCCGGCCTTTCAATGTAGCGACGCCCCTTCCACGATGCTTCTCAACTGTAGCGGGAGCTCCTTTACGCAGGCGCTTACAAGTGCTGTGTAGCCCTCGAGTGGGGGAAAATTCCTCGTCGCTGCTTTCACCTGCGGCAAGCATCGCAGTTAGAATGATTTAGTAGTCAACACAAAGGCGCATGAAACCACACGCAAGGCTCTAGAACAAGGAAAGCCCCTGACAGAGCGTCAGAGGCTTGACCTCAACACTTCCCTGACTCACCGCTGTGACTGCTGCCCTCGCTGCTTCGACTTCTTTCAGTGCTGCTGCTGCTGCCGCTGTTATTGCCGCTGATGCTTGTCTCTCTGCTGCTGCTACCTTCACAATCACGCTGTACTCGGGATCTGCGAGCTGCTGTTTGCTTTGCTGCAGTTAAGGCTCGAGGACGACGAAGCCGAGCCTGCTCAGTGCCTTTGCTTCCGCTGTTGCTATCTTTTGTGCCCTTCTCAGCTTCCAAATGCAAGCGCACCTGCTGCTGCCGTATCTGGGCAATTACTTCCTGCTGCTGCTGCATTGTCTGCTCATGCTGCCGCTTCTGGAGCTCCCATACGTCATCATCTTCCGAAGCTGCACTAAAAATCTGCCTAGCAGCTGCAGCCGCTGCAGCTTCCGCCTCGTCTGCCGCAGTGATGGCAGCAGCAGCAATTTCAGTCATAGAGGGTTCACCGCCCATGACGCTGCCGCTGCTGTTGCGGCCACTCCTGCAGGCCTCATTATTAGACGCTGCACCAACGAGCAATTCACGGTCGCGCCTTTGCTCTCCTTCTGTTGCGCTTCCAGCATCACTCTCGGTGTCACTGACCGTGTGGCCCTCTGACCGCGCAGCTGCTGCTGCAAAAGCACGGCTAGCAGGCGAATCGTGGGGACGCCTAGTTTTAGATAACCTTCCTGGGGAAGCACCATGCTGCTGCACAGAAGCAAAAGAAGGGGGGGCCGGCGATGGCGCGGCTGCATCTGTCGAAGACCAGTGCTGAGGAACTCCAGAGGATATGCTTACGTGCAGCTGCTGGTGTTGCTGCTGCAGTGAAGGCAAGTAAGGCTGCTGTTGTGGGGAAGCGACTGGGATGTCTGAATTGAGCTCGACCTCCCTATTCAACTGCCGTGCTGCAGCAGAAAATGCAGCAGCAGCGGGCGAGTGGGAAGCGCGTAACGGACGAGATGTGGCAGTCTGGTGTTGCTGCGGCTGCTGCATCAGAAGTTGCAGTTGACCTGACTCTTGTCGATGTGGTGGAGTCGGTTGCAGTCCATGAGGCTGCTGCCACCCCACTTCTGGGCTGACCATATTGTGCGTTTGCAAGTGCTGCGGTAGCAGTAGGGGCTGCTGCTGGGGGTGTTGCTGCAACGCCGGGACCACAGGGCCACAAACACCAGGCAACGCATTGGAAGCAGCTGTGCCATCCGGTGGCAGACAGCTCCGTAGCACTCCTGTAGGAGAGTTGGTGGAATGCATCAGCCACTGCTGCTGCTGCTGCTGCTGTGGGGGCCGCTGGTGCTGGCCAGGTGGTAAGCCCTGTAACAGCACCTGCGATGACTGCTGCAAAACTTGCTGCTGCTGCAGTTGCGGTTGCACCTGCGCACTCTGATGCTGTGGCTGCGCTGGTGCTACCTGTAGCTGTTGGGGGGAAACAGCACCCTGCTGTTGCTGATGCTGCGCCGGGGTCTGTAGCCTATTAATCCGCGGAGCCTGGCAGAAACGCTGCTGTTGCTGCTTCTGTGGTTGTACCTGCGGTTGCTGGTGCTGCACAGCAACCGGTGGAGTAACTTGTGGACGTGGGTTCTGCTTGTTTTTTTGCTGCGTCTGCTGCTGCTGTTGCTGTTGCTGCCCCTGCTCCAACTGCTGCTTCTTCCACGCTTCATTTGCTGCGCGGGCTCGCGATTGAAAGCTTCTCTTCTCCTCCGCTGACAACTGACGCCACCTGTGCAGGCGCCGCAGGAGAAATAACGAAAAGAAAAGTACTTCGTCCTCTGTGCGTGCCCACTTATTCCTGTCCCACACTGGCATTGCTTCTCTCCTTTCGTTTGTGTTAGCACCATACTCGCCTCTGTTCCTCTACCTGGTTGCTTTTCGCCACTAACGTTATTTGTGTATCTACACAAGTGCGGCTCAACCCACCTGTCCCCAATAAATGTGTTCTGTTCACTGAGAGAGGCCCCACAGTCGATGCCAAGCTCCTTACAGTTCATGCGCGTCTCGCGCGCAAACAAGGTGAACGCTGTGTACCCTCTGTGGCCCCCTGTCTTGTCTCCTGGTCCTCCTCTCTTCCGCTTTCTTGGGGGCGTCCCTGTGAGCGGGCTCTTCTTTGCGATAGACCCCAGCAGCTGCTGTTGCTGCTGCTGCTGCTGTGACGGCTGTGGTGTCTGCTGCGCTGGTTGCTGCGATGCCTCCTCAGCTCCACCAGCGCCTACAGGTGTTGACCGCTGTTGCTGTTTTTGGGCAATCTTTTGAAGTGTGCTCTGCTGTGGTGTTGCCTGCGCACTGGTTGCTGAAACTGCAGGGGATTCACCAGGCTGCTGATGATGCTGCTGCGGCTTTTTTTCAACCTCCTTGCCCCGCTCCCCTGCTGCAGCAGAAGAAATGAAACGCACCAAAAATGTGAAAATGCCGCTACTGTAACCTTCGATTACGCACACCGCAGCAGCGCCCGTAGCATGGACGAACAGCAGCAGCCGAACAAAAAGCTGGGTAACAACACAAAAAGAGGCGGCAATGGAGGCAGACGAAGAATTGCAAATAAACTAAGAGAAGCAGCACTCCCGGTAGCAGTACTGACTGCTGTGGCAAGGGAAGATACCGCAGCAGCCGCTCACCCGCAAGTCTGTTGAGCTGCTCGGCACGGCGGCCCCATGCTTCCTTCCCGTCCTTCGAAAGGGCGTGCCAGAACTTCGCAACGCAGCTCGTCTGCATGAGTGCCAAACAGCTGACATGGCCCAAAATTCATGCCTTTCACAAGAATCAGTCACAAAACTAAAGCAGAAGCGTCACCAGGAGCCACTACATGGGTGCAATTAGTTCCCCCACCTGCTCTGGCAGCGTCTCCCCAGTGAGCTGTCCATTTTGCAACAGCTCAAGCCTTTTCTCCTTGGCAAACAAGGCCCAACCAGACATGCCAACACCTGCAGCGGCAAGAATTGCCGAAGAACTCAACGTAAGGAATTAACACACAAAAAGTCACAAAGAGACACACAGGGCGCAGCACACAGATAAACAACAATCGCGACAATTGCATTACGACTCAATTCACGGAATAAAATAGCAACAGAGCTAGCTCCATTCCTACCTTTCCGTGATGGCTTCTTCAACTGCTGTCCATCAGTGCTGTTTTTGCTGCCACCACTCTGCTGTGGTTGATGATGTTGTTCGTTGCTTTTCAGGTCTGTAACGCGTGGGCCTGGACCGGACGAAGCAACTGGTTGCTGTGGTTGCGGCGAGGCGGACGGCAGGGACGCTTGCACGTTGCCAGCGCCGGTAGAAGCTGCTGCCACCGCGTCTGTCGCAGCAGCAGACTTCGTGGCAGCAGCAGCACCACCCGGTGGCTGCCGCTCCGCCAACAGCAGCTGCACTCCCAAATGCTGCAGCATGGGTGGCTGGTCACGAAGCTGCGTCAACAAGCACAGATGTGGCAGCATAACACATATTCTGTTGTTCTTCTTGCTGCGCTCCTAATGCTTTTTTTGCTGAAGTCGACTGTATAATAGATACACAAAGGAAGAAAAGCACAGAATAAACGCAGACAAAGAGTTCTGGGTAACAGGGAAACGCACAGCAAGGAGCTGCTTTGGCAGTGGCATCAACAGATGCGGAGGCAACGAATCCAAGCGCGTCACCACCTGCAGCAGCGTGTGCGCTGCCTGGTGCTGTTGCTGCTGCTGTTGCTGCTGTTGAGGCAGCCGTTGTCCCCATAAATGAGTTACCGTCTGCAACAGCGCCTCGCGTGCTGCAGCTACACTGGAGTCCCCCAGAACAACAGCACCCCGAGTTCCCAAGCGCTGCAGTAGTTGCAGCACCCGCGTTCCCATTTTGCTTCCCTCTGCTGCTTCTGCTGCTATGGACTTGCTGCCCTCTTCCCTTGCGTCTTCGAAAATCTGCTTGCACTGCTCCTGCATCTGGCCCCCCGCCACGAGCAGCACCTCCACTAGCAGAAGGGAGAGAACTTTTTCTTTGTTCTCAGCAGACACCTGGGGGTCGAGCAGCGCTGGCCTCAGCTGAGGCCGCACACGGATGACGTGAAGCAGCAACAGCAGCAGCATCTGCCGTTTCTGTCGCGGCAGCAGCGGCTCCCGATGGCGTTCCAGCTGCAGAGTATGACGATAAAGTAGACTCTCCAGAATCCGCAGCACAGGAAGCGCTTCTATAACTTCTTTTGTCTTTTGCGCCTCAACAGCAGCGGTGGATGCTGCTGCCAAAAACTCCGGGTCGTCACCGGACGCAGCGCCATCAGCAGATGGGTCTGCTGTTGCAGTTATCTCAGCTGGGTTCTGTATATCCGCAGCGTCACCTGCCAGCTCGCCTTTATCAGCGCTCCTGCATGATGCAGCGACAACGGTTTGGTTAGCGTCTCCACAGGCACCACCTGCTGCAGCTGCTGCAGCAACTGCATCTTCAGGAGTTGCTATTTCATTCATTCTGGTAGGAAAAGCACCTCTACGACTGTTGAACTGAAACGTCGGAAATTGCCTTTGCGTTGAGAACCAGACAAAGATGTCTCGGTGGGCAGCGGTAGCCTCTGAAGAAGCGACAAGTACAGTAACAGGCACATGGCAACCGTGCAGCAGCCCGTCCTACTGCAAAGGACTGTTATGGACCCCGCATGCCGGCTTGTGACACCATTCTGATAAGAAGAGCGACAGCTAAATCACGAGAGCTCACCTGCTGCAGCCTGCTCCAGCGCATTTGCAAGCAGCGGCGCGTCCATCTCTGGAAGATGCAAGGGAAACCGGCTCGTTGCATCAAAATCAACTGCCGCAACAGCAGAACAAAGGCATAAGTAACGGCACCATTGACAACATCGCAGTAATCTTGTTGCCTTCCTCCGCCAAAGATCGCTGATACAGCTGCAGTTATAGCAGTGCAAGTAACACTATACAGTACAGCCTATGAGATTGCAGCAGCAGCAGCAACTCACCGTATGGTGCTTCATCCAGCTCCTGCTTCTGCTGCAGCGGATAGTCCAACTGTCGCTGATGCATGCGTGGCTCTAAGAGAGCCCGCTCTCCATACAGCAGAGACACGGGAAGCAAGCGGGCAGGTAGCAAACGAATGCTACTACTGCACAAGCAGTTACGTCTTGTAAGACTGATACCATCACGTTTGCTGAGGTTCTTGCTGCTGCCACCCTTCCGGCGGCGGCCGCGATGGTTGCGGCGGTTGCTGGTCCTGCCATCGTCAGCTGCGGTACCAGTTCCGCATGCTGCAGCACCAGCTGATATTAAAATAGCACCTGCTTGTGCACAAGTGGATGCTGATATACCTGTATGTGCGGCTTCGTCCCTTCCTGATACTACGGCAGCATCTGCTCCTCCGCCGGCATCTACTGCAGCGGCTAGATCTCGCGTGAAGGCTGCCACTGCAGCTGAAGGAGCGCAAGATGCTTCCGTGTCCGCTACTGTTGGTGGTGCCGTATTAGCGCGAACGGCAGCACCTGACCCTGGTGACTCCGACTTCTGGTGTTCTTCCTCACCAGATATTGCTCCAGCAGTTGCACCAGCAGCATTGGTAGAAGAGCCTACCGCGGCTACAGGAGTTGAGGTCACTGAATCGGTGGTTCCAGCACCCAAGAGGAACCCGCTGTTGCATCCACTGCCTCCAGGCAACAGCGACGACAGAGGAACTTTACTGCTGCTGCTGTTGCTGCTGCTTTCGCTGCGACTGCAGCTGTTGCCGCTGCATGACACTGTGCTGGGAGTAACAAAATCGGTAGGATGACAAAGTTCCTTACCACTACTACTACTACTGCTGCTGCTGTTGGGGGCCGGTGGTGGCTGCAGAGGTACCTCACTAGCCAGAAGCGAAGACTGCAGCACCTGCGAGTGATCTTGAGTGTCTTGCTCTTCTGTTGCAGAGCCTGAGAGGGGTTGCAAAAGCAGCTGAAAGTCTTGCTGTTCGAGCGGCTGCTCCTCAGAGGTGTGAGTCTGCAGCAGCTGCTGGGGTTGCTGAGAAGCGAGTTGCTGCTGTCCATAAGGCATCAGCAGTAGCGGGTCGTGCGGGGGCTGCAGCAGATGCAATGGCGGCAGTTCCTGCATTGTCTGCTGGCCACTGCCGCTGTTTGTATCGCCGCCGCTGCTGCTTATAGGGGTCATTGAGCAGTCACCATCTGCCCCTATATGCGCTTAAGTCCGTCTCCCGTCATCGGGCCAGCGCATGCAGCCAAAAGCAGTGCAATGGTGTGGCGTGAAAGGTGGCCCGATGCCCCCTTACGCGCACGCCGCATCAGCTGCTGCGTTCACCTGATGGATATGAGACACTGCTGTTTGTCCTCAGATGCACAGTCCACAATAGTCCAGTAGAGCGCCTACAGAAGATGCTGCTAGTGCACCAGCAGCCGGTGTTCCGGACGGAGCACGGTTTGTCGTCTGAAAAACGCCAACGCCACGGCGGCAAAGTCGCTGCAGAGAAAGATATGAAATATATGGACAGGCAAACACCAGATTTGCTCCTGCTTCTACCAAGAGCCCCCCAGAATCAGTCAACAGAGCCCTCCGCGGATACTTGACTGCTGCGGCTCCCTGTAGCAGGACGCTCTCTCCCTGCAATGCCGAGAAAAGCAAGGTACGCAAGCGTCTTCTGCATCGATGAGTAACAACCCGTAGTGCAACGCATCTCTGCATTTTCCATGTTGCAGCCACAGCAGCAGCCGCAGGGGCTGCTGGGTAACATGCAACGGCTGCGACTTGTTTTATGGATGGGATTCGAGCAGCTGCCTCTAGAGTGTAGTGCCTTTCGCGCATTTAACTTATATATAATGGAGAGGTAACATTAAATATCTGGTGCCCTCAACAGGTATGAGGTAACACCACCGCAACCCAGCTACTGCTGCTCCAGCGGGCTACTTCGTTTCACTTCGTTTCGCTATAGGGCGTTGGTGTTGCGCTGTCAGAGGCGAAGAAGGTTTGGGTGTTTCGCAAGGCATCCTCTTGTTGCTTCTGTACAGTGTACTAAGAAGCTCTTGTACTTCGCTGCTGAAACAAGGTTGAAAGATGCAGCCGGCAACCCCCACTTGCCTCACTGCAGAAGCAGCAGCGGGGGAAAGGGCTCTTCATGGCGACCCAGAGGTCGCCCCTACGGCACTTCCAGCAGACGAGCAGGATGTCCTGGTGCAGCGAGAGCACAGGGAACAAGGCATTGTGATCAGCAGCTTCACCGTCAACGGCAGCAGCAGCTGCAGCAAGAATAGCAGCGGCCGCAGGAACAGTGGTAGCAGTAGCTGGGGAAGCAACTGCCCCAGCCAAGTCTATGCGATTCGGCAGGCCTCATTCAAGAGTCACCCGACATCTGAGGAGGTGCGACGGCAGCGGCTGAAGCTCAACAATCTGCTGCGGTCCGAGGCTCGGGGCGAGCTGCTCCGACAGCTGCGCGCAGAGGCAGAGAGAGAACTGCGGCAACAGGAAGAGCTCTTGTACCTGCAGCAGCATGTAGAAGATGCAGACGTGGCACAGCACCGGACCAGAGCTGTGCATGGCACGGTTAGGGATGACCGTATGAGGGCTTCTCTTGACAACATGGACAGCCGCCCATTGCAGCAGCTGATTAACCACCCACAAGCAATTTACGAGGCTCCGGAGGAACTCAAGTCAGGTAGGGTTATGCAACTGTTGTGAGGCTTTGCCGCTGGCTGCTGTCGGCTTTTTTGGGACGCAGCTGCTGCTATAACTTCAACATACAGCTCTGTATGGACGGACACGATAACAGGTTGCTAGTGCCTTCAATCCTGGCAGGTGGCCAAGCTCTGCAACTGTTGCTGCAGTTGTTACTATTTCTTTTTCTGCGTGTGTCCACTGTCTACAGGCGAGTACATGGTGGCTTTGCGTCCTGAGGGGCGGAGTTGTTTGCTCTTGTTGCGCAACGGTCGCGGGTTTTTGTTCGGTAAGAATGGGAGGCCACTTCTGCGCGTGCAATGCAGCAGTAAGGCGCAGGTGACGATAGGAGCAGCAGGGAGCGAGAGTATAAGCGGATCGGCGACGCTTTTCTCGCAGCTGGTGCAAAAGCGGGAGCACGTGCATAGTCTTCCATTGGAGAAGCACAGGCTGATGGAGGAGCTAGAAAAAGAGGTGTATAGCTGCATCCACCCAGAGGAAAAGCAGAGGTTGCTGTTGGAGCTATCGCGGCAATTCGATGTTGCACTCTACGGTTTAGTTGAAGAGGCAACGGGCGGCGCAGTGACAGAGCCTGCGGGCTGCCACAGTTTCAGTCGTAGTGCCGATTTGCGGCAAGTAGACAAACTCACTTTGGGCAACCAGCAGCCTAAGGATGAGGAGCGACACCTGCAGCAGGGGCGGAGGGTGCAGCAGCAACAAGAACTACCGCTGATGTATCTGCCTTTGGGGATCTTGTCAAAAGGTCTGACACTTTTGGAGTGCATTTTGTGCCCATACACCCTAGCTAATATGCAGTACTTCTGCAGGCGTTACGGGGAGGCTGAAGGCGCAGCTGCAGGAGCACAAGGTGCTGCAGCATTCGCAGAAGGCGGGACTGTCGGTGCTGAGGACCCGTTGTGGCAGGTGCTGTTTGTGGTGGATGTTTTGTTTCTCGGGGGCCTGATGCTTGGCCATTGCGAGTTTGAATGTCGGCATTTCTTTCTCAAGAGCAGGCGCGCTTACCGGAACCCTAATCCCTAAGCTCTTGATGTGACTCATCAGTCTAGAAACCGTTGTGATTTGCACACGTAGATGTGTGCTGTTGCAAGGGCATGCGTGCGCGTTTGTTTAGTTACTTACATGCATGTATGTGCATTTGCATGTGTACTCATAAGTATGCAAGCGCCGACAGATTTACAGGGGTTTCCGTGTAGGCATGCGCTCCCGCGTGCATATATGCATGAATATATAAACAAATCTGCACTCGCCTCAACGAGTATAAGCGAGTGTTACATTTTGTGCGACATGTACATGTGGGTCACTACGTAGTTGTGTGTACCTCTAGGTATATTTACGCGTTTAATTATGTGCGTTTGCTCAGGTAAGTGTTCCCAAGTGAATATGCGGTGGGATGTATGAAGTTGATGTATCTGCTTCGCGGGTGCGTATTTGCTCGAAGGCATTTGCTTCTCACATTGCAAATATGTGTTTTGCGGAGGAAGATTATGTCAGATGTATTTGCAAATAGACGGAAATGCATAGAACAACTCGCAGAAAGGGAGAACCATGAACCTGTGGGTTTCCTGCATTCCAATAGCGAGTGTTTGCAAGCGTGTCGGTATATGCATGCGTGTGCATTACCATTTCTCTGCAGTCACATTTAGTACGTGTACACATGCACACCTGTTATAAGCGCTTGTAAGCATTGGTTCGTCACAGCGTGCCGTGGAAAGCGTACGTGCACAATATGTATGCCTAAGCGTACAGTTCATGCACACGCGCACATACATCTAAACAGATACGGCGGCCGAAGTGTTGCTGTATGCTTCTGTCGGGGAATAGTATGTGGCTGAGTTGGCTGCAAATTTGTAGCACTGTAGGGAAGAGAATAGTCTTGAGCAGACCTTGAAACATGGAGCAGCTTGTAGGTGAAACGTTCCTACTGTTGACCGTGTAATGGCATGCGGCGTGATCTTTTGCGTGTGGTCGGTTCTGTGGCGCAGGATTGATGAGTCTCCAGGCGCGTTTGCCCCGCTGCAACTGCTTCCCTTCGTGGATGCTGCGGCTTCTGAGCTGCAATGTCTCTTCTCAGGGTGAGACGCCTCTTAGCGACGAATTGCGGCCAGAAACTGACTGACTGCGAAATTCGCTTGGCTGCATCTTTGTTATTTTTTGTTCAATTTATGCCATCATTCGCTTTGATGTCTATTGGCGCTGGAGCCATCTGCTGATGGGCCCATCAGAAACGTATGCAGAACTCCGTCGCTGCTGTGGGCAAGTGCTGCTTCGTCGGTATTTCTTGTTTATCCCATTATTTTTGTTTGCTCCTTCGTGGCTTAATCTGCCCGTCGTTTTCTGGGTTTTAGACAGGTGGATCTATTGTGGTCGCCTTGTGTTTGTGGGCGTTTGTAGCTTTGTTGTTGCGCGTTGTTGCTGCTGCTTCTCTTTCCAGACCCTTTCTCTATCCACCGGACGGTTTCTACTTCCAGCACAAATTAGCGCCTCATATTGGAGGGACAAATCCACTCGCTCTGTCTTGGAGGGATGAGCGTATTGCGTCAGTTTCCCTGCCGTCATTAGACCTAAATTGAGAAGCAAACCCTAAAATAGTCAGAGCGCATATGAGCTGCAGAGAATCCATAGAAAAACACAGTGGTGTGCTATATTGGGTGCTGAGAGCGAGAACCGATACAAAGAAGGCAAAGGGGTTTCCACAGGTCGACGTAATCCTTAAGCTGTGTATGCCTGTTTTTGAATGTGTCTCCAGACGCTTTCCGATAGACGAGAAGAACGAAGGCCAGCAACACATCGACACGTTTCTGTTGCTCCTTCCAAACGGAGAAGTTCAAAGCAGTGGTCTGCTCGCAACACTTTTCCTGGGGCATAACGCCGTCTTCGCCTTTTGTTTTCGTGTTGTGTCTGCCCCTTTGTCGCCCTCTTTTCCAGTTGGGCACTTGGCGCTGCAGTCCAGGCGGACCCGCTTGAGTGTACTTGACACCGCTTGCAAACTGCTTTTTTCCGTGTGTACGTAGCTGCGTCGGCAGGCTTTATGGCAGTAGGGTGGCTGCTGCGTGCACATTTTACTGCAGAAGGCATTGTGGTGGGCGTGGTGGATCCCGCGGAGTTCGGAGTGGAGGGCATGAAGGAGCCCTGTATAAGACAGTACGCATTTGTCCGCGCGCGTTGGCTCGCCTATCAAATCGTGTTTACGTCAATGGCTGTGCGTGAATATTCAAGTTTCGACGGGTCGTATATCTCGTGTTCCCAGTTCGGCGCAGCTGCCATATAGACCTACCCTCTTCTACTAAGAAACATGCAGATTTCCTGTATCGACTTACATAAAGGGTACTCCTGTAAATGTACTGTCTGCAGTTTTGGTTGTTTGGTCTCACAGTTTCAAGGTGGGAGACCTCGACGTGCAGAGCTGCCGCTTCCGCTGGCTTGAGAGGGCTGAGCGCCCTAGGATGGAGCTAGACGTCTCACGGCAGCCCCCAAAGTGTCCCACA